AGGCCTGCCACTTCTTCTCTTATGATCGAATTAGGCACGTCCAGCTCGTATAAATGCAATTATTTTCTTTAGATCGCAACTTTATCTGAGCGGCCAGCTATTCTGAACTGCAATCAGAAAAGAGGTCTTTGCAATTGAATAATATACTCGGTGAGCATTGAAGTTACTTAGAAAGACTTTTATTTGCCGTGCAATTATGTTAACATTTTCTATAATAACCAGCAACAGTTTCTTGTTTTAAAATAGTTTGTCGAATGAGCGGCTGTCGAGACAACGCCTTTTAAGATTTGGAATCAATTTCATATTTCGCTCCAATTACTCCGTTCGCTGGATAGCAATATTTGAACAAAAGCTGACACCGCAAACCATTGAACTACTTTTCACATTTCATCATTTATGGTATTTATTCGTACATTGTGTTTTTGTTATTACTTCTCTCTATCTCCATAAATCATTTACTTAAGAAAGCCAGTTACGTTATGATACTTGGAATATGGTTGCATTGCTTATTGTTTATAAAATTGTTTTGTTTTATTTATCAACCAAAAGAGGCACTCGTATGCATGTAAAGTATATCAGCTCTACTTGAAAAGTCGCTCTTCAATCAACATTAGATAATAAGCTAAGTTATTTATAGCCGAAAATTCCGAAAATTTAGAAATAAAACAATAATATAAATCAACAAGATTTTAATATTGATCTATTAATCTCCCAACAGACATTTCTACTCATAATAATATTTTACCTACCCCCTTAAAAAAAGAACTAACACAGTTTTCCTGAACTTTGCATCTTTTTTACGCATCCAAATATCATGTCAGATTATTATATCATTTACATATCTATCATAGAAATTATATGGTTTAAGTAATGTTTTTGTATCAAAATTTTCTTTATTTCTAAATATAAATTATTAAAAGAAGCAGAATTTTGATAATGTTGTGGTTATACCTGACGGCCCTGCATCGTTAACACGTACAAATTCCTTCTAACTAAATATTCGATAGTTCGAATACCTATGATAGAGATAAGATATTGTTTGACCTCCTGTATTTAATTTTAGTGAATACGTTTAAAATTTGTTGTGAAGAGTGGGAGATATCTTCGCTAATTTGAAGCATCGGATCCATTCCAAGACAGATCCACAACAAGAGAAAAAAAGTAATCACAAAAGTAAAATTAATTTACTCCGATTTAAATTAGCCTTCTTAAGCGCGTATTATGTGCACATTGCTAATATTTTCCAAGTCTTTCACAGCATCATGTCAACAATATTGATAGATACATAGTTGTAGTTTGTTTTGTACGAACATCTTATGAGTTTAAATAGTTGAGTGATATAATGGGGCTGGCTAAAAAAAATGCAAGTATAATAATCACACAAAACAATTAAAGAACTTTGTTTGGTTACAAATAATTATTTGAAGTTAATTGCCTGTGCATTCTTAGCCAACATTTGTGTTGCCGACTCGACCAGTTTGGTCTGCCAAAAGCAATAAAAATGTCAAACATTTGCGTTTAATTACCCTCGCATATTTGCACGAGCATTGAGGAAACGACAACGATCAAAGCCAAATAGATCCAAAATCTTCTTAACCCCAATTTATGTGTGAGCCGACCATACACGTATATAACTGGACACATGCACGTCAATTTCATGCAACATTTCAACGCATTTGGACGCCAGCTTGTGTATTTTTCGCCCGGCGAGTGACATTTATCGCAAAATTGCATGCAGCTTAGAAAATCGTACGAACAGGTTTTGGCCAAAAGAGAAAACCGCCCAGGTACGATGGTATGTGTGGTGTTGGCCAAGCAATCGTGGCCGTATTTGGCAGTAAAGCGACGGAGGCAGAGACTGCGAAGGTGCTTGTGGCGCATTCGAATTGAACCGTCGTTTTGGCCAGCCCCTGCTCGTTCAATTTAGTATTGTTGTTATCAAAGTCAATCAAAGGCGCACAATTCATTTGTGACAGATTATGCCTTGACTTTGTTTGGGCAACAGTTGACAGCCAGCAGCGGGCAAGCGATCAATCGACAAAGGCTTTGAATCAAATCGATCGATGTCTGGGCATTTTCTGTATGCTTTTTTCTTTTTTTTAGAAAGTCACACGACCATGTCTGTGATGGATCGTACAGAGCTACTCGTAAATACATTCGAGTAATAATAAAAATGCTTTTTCGGTTTGGATTTTTGGCACTAAGAGACAAATAAAATTTGCATTGGATATCCACCAGAAACAATACATAAAACTTTCTCCCGGCAAGCGTTTAGGCCAGCAAGTAGTCCATCAGACAGCCAGGCATCATCGTCACATGATTGTGTTGTTAATGATGCGAACGGAGGCAGAAAGCAATTTGCAGCCCGATCTGTTTAGGCGCCCTGACATGTGTCAGCTCGAGATTCAACATCCACTCCACTCCACTCCACACCACAATTCAATGGCAAGCACTTGCACCGAGTATTTGCCCAAAGTCAAGACATTCACTTTTCCCACTTGACCATAAAACAAATCCATTAATTTTGCGCAAGCGAAAGGGCCACCTTGAGGCGTTGCAGAGAGCAGTCTAACAAATACAAGTATAGTGTAGCTGATTCAGTTTCGGTTTCTATTCAATAAAGATATGCATACCAGAGCGGCTTTGCCGCGCTAGTTGTTGTTATTAATTTGCATAAATTTACCAACCAAATATAATTTGAAAAGACTGTTGAATCGTTTCTCGTGCTGGCAAATTGCCTTTTTCAGCTGCTGCTGCTGCTACTGCTGGTGTGGCCATCAGAAACATCAACAAGTTTCTCACGTTGATTAGTAAATCTAACTTGTTTCCCCTCCCTCTTTCCTGCACCCCATTAAGCAGCTAATAGCTGGCTTTGTTCGCCTCTTACAAGTATTGTTTATGCTCTACATCTGCTGCAATTGGATACAAATCAACATTTTTGTGAATGAAAACTCAAGCTGCATGACATGCAATTGCAATCTAGAGTCTAGAGTTTCACATAAACACCCAAAGACGCGAACAAATGACTTTAATTACAAAACAGCGGGCAACGCAATTAGAAGAAATAACAAATTAAAAGTGAAACATGAGCTGCGGCTCGCTCTGCTCTTTGATGTGCCTGTGCCTGGGCCTGTGCCTGTGCCTTATGCTTTACAAGTCTCTGTGTGTTTGGAATTTAAAAAGCAATGTTGTCGTTTTTCGTTGTTGTGGTTGTTGTTGTTGTGGCTATAAGGTTTTTGCTTCGCTGCATAATCGCGCACTGTGCCACAAACTGGGAGAAAGTACAGAAAGCGGAGGCAATACCGTCAACGTGATCGTGAACAGAGACTGGAAGATGCCACCAAAACGCCAACACTGGTCAGGCAAGCTTTAACTTTATGGTCAGCCTGATGGGCACATGGCACTTGGCATCGCACACTCGTATGAGATGCTTCGTGAAAGAGCTGCCACTGACAGGCGCGGTAATTTTTGAGGTTTTACAAATTGTAGAACCGCACGCATGCGCGCAGCTGCGAACAGGAACACATCTGGGGCTGGCCAATCATAATGGTGCTGTGAGCCAATTTGCTGCACTCAACGCATTAGAGTATCAGAGCGAGATGAGTGCTCAGCTAATTGGAAATGCAAATGCAAATGCAAATGCCAGTGAATGGGAAGACCATTAGCTTGAATAATTTCAAAACAATTACCAAACGCTATTCAAAACTAATTAAACTAAGACTCTCCAAGAGACTGAAATCGACTGTATTATTAATGCTATTTTTTTAAATATATATTCAGTTACAAGAGTACAAAAAATTAATGTTAACAATTAAAAATCGTATTCTAATAAGTCAGCTGGCTGCCTTGTTTTGACCCTTGTTATTGGGCGTTCATCTGGTAGGGGCCTGGCCAGCCTCTTTTTTGGTTGGCCAGCTTCTACGGTCTAATTTTTTTTTTTTTTTTTTTGTACTGTTAATATTTCAATAACTTACATTAAACTTATAGCAAAATATAATTACAAATAATCCGATCCAAATCGTTTCATACAGCAGAAAATCTTAAAAATATTGTAAGTTAAAATGCAAACAAATATAGCTTAAGGCTCTGGTAGCTAGGCCAAAAGTCCCTGCTAGGTTATAGTTTTAACTTTAAGTTAACCCATTAAATAAATAAATAAATAAATAAATAAATAAATAAATAAACAAACAAATAACAACTTAAGAGTTAAGTCTTGTACGTTCTCCAAGATTGAGATCACGGTGCAGTGTAGAAAACTGTATTATTGTAAATAGTTATGAAATAAATTAGATAACTTAATAGGCCGTGCTTAAAGGCAACCTTTTTGAATGAAGAATAATTCTTAAATAAAAAAAGAATTGTTTAAGGAACTTGTCATAGACCATCGTATAAGTTTTAAGTGTGGAAATTTTGTTCTTCGCTGCTATTAAATTATTGGTAACTAAAAGCTTATAAAGCAGTGTTTAGGCTAACTTTAAAGCAAATATTTTCTACCGATATTTTGGACTAATATCTGAGACAGTTGGACAGAAATAAATGAAATGGGTTCTATCATATATTTCCGATAAATATTTACATTTAGGGTATCTGTACTTGATTCGATTTCCAGAAAGCTAAAAATTAGTGCTCCACTATGATAAAAGGACTCAACCAGCTGGCAGGATTCCCACAATGCGAGTCTCTTCCGACTACGCTCCGGTTCGAATTACGGTTCGAAAGATTGAACTTGCGAATAAAATACTTGCAGTCTTAAATGCTATAAGTGTGGTTTCATATAATAAAATATAAGACTGTAAAAAAAAATTGATGAAAAGGAAAATTATTGCCAAGTATGTAGTAAGTCCCAAAACAACTTGATTCTCTTGAGCAAGCAATTAAAGACGTTAGTAAGAATTCACTGTTTATTTCACTTTGTGTTGAAGCTAAAACGCTGATAAGTCCAAATATCGATAGCTATATATGTACATATCTAATTGTGGTTCATCTGTTTCTCATTGCAGCACTTTCTCGAATCAGTCAGTCGGCAAATACAAGCCCACGCCAGCACCACGCCACACTCACAACATGCAACAGCCAAGCAGTTATTACACACAGACGGAGAGCGAGCTGTTGCACCTGGAGGCTGGAGGTGCGGCCCCCTATGCGCTCCATAGAGGCGACTTGGCCTCCAGATCACAACAGCAGCAACAACAGCAACAACAGCAGCAGCAACAACAGCAGCAACAGCCACAACAAACCACTAGCAGCAACGCGAACAATTTGGATGCACAGTCGGCCGCCAGCAGCAGCAATGGTGGTGGCAGCAACGGCACGCCCTCCCACTTTGTGTCCCCAATGCAGCGTCGCCACTGCCAGCCGCCCTCGCACCTGCCCCTGAACTCGGTCTCCTCGCCGCTGCGCACCGCCAACTACAAAACGGCCGCCTCGGTCAGCGTCTACCATCACAGCCATCACCAGCAACTGGACTTTCAGCGCAATTCGCAGTCGGATGACGACAGCGGCTGCGCTCTGGAAGAGTACACGTGGGTGCCGCCGGGTCTGCGACCGGATCAGGTGAGGGCACATGTGGCGATTTGTCACAGCTAATTAGAGTGAAATCGAAAACAAGCGACCAGGGAGCCACACTACATACAAGCACATACTATAGTTGACTTTATAATTTCCAATACCACCTGCTGCTCAACTGCTCGTATGAATGGGACTTTTGCTTTCGTTTGGCATTCGCTCAATTTCCACGCTCCATTAGCTCGCCAGCATTGCACACACCGGCTGGCCAAAACCAATCGAAATCAAAAGCAATCCTGTTATATACGAGTATACTACGAATATAGTATAGTCTCTAATGCCTGGCCACATGCACGTTTAAGGAAATCGCACGAACGCTTTAATTACATCAGCTCTTTTTTTGGCTCGAAAATTATCGAGCCGAATCGAAAAGCGATCGATCGCAGGCGAAAGCGTGTGTAATTAAATTGTTGCTAGTTTTGGTAGCAATTAGACGAGGAAATGTTGGCCATTAGTCAGCGAGCCAACATGTAGAGTCGTTTTCCATTCGAGCCGCGCTTATGCAATGCGCATGGGCCATGGCTGGGAAAATGCTCAAATCTATTTGCTGAATTTTCGGTCAATTTTTTCATAGCAGCCTGACATTTGCAACATTTCCACTTTCGCACGCCTGGCCAGCTGGCGATATAAATACGGGCAACATAAATCTCGACTTCGTGTCCCACCCAAAATCGCCAGCAGCAATGGCCTTAAAGTTGACAACGTGTTCAACGCTGGCCGCCTGTGGGCGGCTACCGTTGCACGGCAATGTGTAGCGGGCGTGTGTCGCATTTGTTGTTGTAGCTATTGTTGTTGTCGTTGTTGGGAACTAATGGCCCGCGCAAATCGCTGCAAAGATATACAATACGAGCATGGTGGAGACAACTGCAGAAAAACAAAGCGACGGTAACATTTTAGTGAAAGTGTTTACCGCTCTGTGAGTTGAACTGTGATTAATTCGTTCGAAGTTGTCATTAGTTAGCCACATTTGTCTAGCTTGTCTGTTTGAATACATTTTAGGGGCATTTATAATGGAACTCTTAATCGCAACTGCAGTTCAACTGTCCTATCCCTTTCAGACCCCACGCCAAACTACTGAATATTTTTTTATGATTTTTGAAATAAGTATATGGTCATTATATTTTTTGGGAATGTTTTCAATGTCTAGCTTAAATATTCTTCATGGACTTTTCAGGACATGGATTTTCAGTTAAAATTAAAATTTCAAAGCATTTTTTTTGCAACAAATAACTGAAAATCATCTTAAACATTAAAATTTATTTTAAAAAAAATCTAAATGCCGTATTTTTGCTATTTTTTTGTTGTTGCTTAATTTGTAATTGAAGTGTTTTTTTTAGTGATTTCAATGCTAGGTTTTGCAAGTTAAATATTCTTCATATATCTTAAAAACGTTTTAAAAAAAATCTAAATGCCTTATTTTTGCTAGTTTTTTGCTGTTAATTTAATTTTTAATTGAAGTGTTTTCAATGTCTAGGTTTCGCAATTTAAATATTCTTCATGGACTTTTCAGGACATGGATTTTCATTTAAAATTTAAAATTTCAAAGCATCTTTTTTTGCAACAAATAACTGAAACTCATCTTAAACATTAAAATTTATTTAAAAAAAATCTAAATGCCTTATTTTTGCTAGTTTTTTGCTGCTTAATTTGTAATTGAAGTGTTTTTTTAGTGATTTCAATGCTAGGTTTTGCAAGTTAAATATTCTTCATAAACCTTAAAAAAATTTAAAAAAAATCTAAATGCCTTATTTTTGCTAGTTTTTTGCTGTTAATTTAATTTTTAATTGAAGGCTTTTCAATGTCTAGGTTTTGCAATTTAAATATTCTTCATGGACTTTTCAGGACATGGATTTTCATTTAAAATTTCAAAGCATTTTTTTTTTTGCAACAAATAACTGAAAGTCAGCTTAAACATTAAAATTTATTTAAAAAAAATCTAAATGCCTTATTTTTGCTAGTTTTTTGCTGCTTAATTTGTAATTGAAGTGTTTTTTTAGTGATTTCAATGCTAGGTTTTGCAAGTTAAATATTCTTCATAAACCTTAAAAAAATTTAAAAAAAATCTAAATTCATTATTTTCACTAGTTTTTTGCTGTTAATTTAATTTTTAATTGAAGTGTTTTCAATGTCTAGGTTTCGCAATTTAAATATTCTTCATGGACTTTTAAGGACATGGATTTTCATTTAAAATTTAAAATTTCAAAGCATTTTTTTTTTGCAACAAATAACTGAAACTAATTTTAAACATTAAAATTTATTTTAAAAAAAATCTAAATGGCTTATTTTTGCTAGTTTTTTGCTGTTAATTTAATTTTTAATTGAAGTGTTTTCTTAGTTCTGCAGCTTATTTTGTGAAAAATGAAAAGTTTCACTCATGTTCAAATAACTGTAAAGCTAATCGCGGAGCAATGAAACAATAAACATGCAGAGCCGATAGGTCTTATAAATATTCGTTAAATACTTATAAATGGAAATATGTGGACAGATGCATCAGACTCTGAAGGGGCTATAATGCCATCCGCGTTGAAGCGTGAGAGGTACTTCAATATTTCGACTACTATAGTAGTAGTCTGGCCACTTGCTCATAATCCAATCAACGCACACTTACTTTATGCAATTGCTCGACTCTATTCTTTCTCCTCTACTTGTATATAATATATATTTTTTCTGCTCGTTAACAGGTTCGCTTGTACTTCAGCCAACTGCCCGACGACAAAGTGCCCTACGTCAACAGTCCGGGCGAGAAGTATCGCGTGAAACAATTGCTGCACCAGCTGCCGCCGCAAGATAACGAAGTGAGTATTAGCCAGAAGAGGACGTTGACGACGACAAAAGCCCCTTCGACTCATACAAAAGAAAAAAAAAAAAAACAGCATAAGAATGCAGTTGGTGGCGCCAAGTCGTAAAAATTGAAAAGCAACCAAAGGAGCAGCAGACTTGGCCAACAAACATTCAAAGTGCGCCACGCAAAGTTCAGTCGAAGTAGTAGCCGCCTTTTTTGTTCACGTCTTGAGATTAAAAAACTTGCACTGCCATTGCTGCCGCTGCTGCCTTTTGAGTTGCTGTAACAGAGCTTTTAATTAAAATTTACAACAAACTTTGCCCCCTCCCTCCCGCCCCTCTCTTTGCAGGTGCGCTACTGCCATTCGCTGAGCGACGAGGAGCGGAAGGAGCTGCGCATTTTCTCGGCACAACGCAAACGCGAAGCGCTCGGACGCGGAGCCGTTCGTCTGCTGTCCGACGAGAGGCCCTGCAAGGGTGTAAGTACCAGAAAAGATTCCCATTTCTATGGAATACATATTTCCATTCTAATTGTTGTGCAAAAAATTTACATTTTATTATTAAGAAAAGGCGAAGAGCGCGCGAGTTTCGATTTCATCTTCATAGCCAGGGCGAAGTTGTTGGCAAAAGTTTGACAGTTTGCTGTTTATAAATTTTCCTTGGAAGACAAAGCAAAAAAAATTGACAATGGCCCTGCCAAAAACAATAACCGTTGCCCAGACGCCAGACGGGAGCTGAAGGGATGGGATGGTCGATGGGGGGGGGGGGAGGGGGGCTGGGGTGCCTGGCATAAAGGGCCAACTTTCAAACGTCGCGTCGCTTGCGTGCCAAGTTGCCAAGTTGCCAGTGCTAGCTGGCAGCAGCGTCTCAAATAAAAGATGACAAAAAGATTTCATTAAGTACACTTTTAGCAAACGCCAAAGTGCTGCAGTGTACTGCACAGTGGCAGTAAAATGAAAAGCGAAGCAGGGAAACTGCAAATGAAAAACGTTGTTGCAAAAACAATTGCAGCGACTTGGTTTGTTTGGGAAACACAAAAGGCCCGGCTGCCAGCAGCAACTGCATTCAGAGTCGAAGTTGATGTTTTTCTGCAGCGTCCCCGTAGCACCCGCTCCCCCCCTCCCCTCCCACTCCTCCCCCTCTCTCTACACACACACAAGAAAACTTGGGGAGCGAAAAGTGAATGTGCATATACACAACCTTACGAAATGGCATTAAAGTGCCATAGCAATGCCATAAAGTAGTAGCAGTTCGCTACGTATAGTACTATACTATACGTACTATACTTCCAATATAGAGCAGTATCTGTAGTCTATACAATGCGCTACCCTTTCTGTGTGAGTTCCCTGAAACTTTGGCGTCCCACCGCACGCACGTCCCTGCGAAATTTGCATCGTTATTAGCCGGCAGTCTCTGGGCATGTGTTGGCCAACCATTTTCTGCTAACGCTAACGCAGTTGTTCGTCCCTCCATGGATGATAGTTCTCGATTTTATTGTGCGCACATTCTCCACTCGTAGAACTTATTAAAAAGTTTATGCCGCACGCTTCCACTTTTACTTCTGCGAGTCTGTCTGGACAGGCACACTGCTCGAAGAGAAGGTCGAGTCTGTTACGCTCATGAAGTGCAACCCAAAATGTCTCCTTAAAGCCGTGATTTAACTCGCCAGCTGGTTTTTACGTAATTTCGTTGAAATAGAGATAATTATAGCCATAAACTATGTGTGATTTGTGTGGACTGGAAGTAGTTAGTTGGTCAAATATTGATATGGCGTTATGGTTTCTTGAATTAATTTAAGAAGGCAGAGCCAACATTCTCAGACGTTTAATGAAGAAGAATCCATCTGCATATTGAAATCAGATTCAATTACCGCAGCTGGTTTTTTATAATATTGTGCTGGGAGATAAGTATAATCAACACTACATTCAATATTCGCAAAAGGATCTGTGGTTTCACAAATTCATGGCAATTAAGCGTGGTTTAAATTAGCTTAAACAATTAAAAGCCATTAAGCCTCAGAGAGTAAGAATATATTTATAATTGTTATGAAAATGTTCATTTTATATCAAAGGTTAAAAACATATTTTTTGCCCGACAAGCTTTCTATATATGATGCTTAATTATTTGTATGCCCTCTACCCGCACGATAAAAAGGATATATTAGGTTTGTTCAAGGTATGTAAAAGGCAAAAGGAGACATCTCTGAAAGTACTTGTATATAAATATGTTCTTAATCAGCATGACGAGATAAATCGAAAACGCCATGTCCGCCTGTCTAGATAGGACCTGAAATTCGGAGAGGGTTGAGCTGAAATTCACTAAACTTGGTATGTAGGCTCCAGGCATCACGAGCTTGCTGTTGTGTTATTTCTTGTTAAAATTAAACTAACTTGGCTTAAGCTATAAATTTTGTAAATAGGAATTGAAGGGAAACTTGTATTTAATTCTCAGAAACAAAAAGGAGGTAATAATTCGGGAAACAAGAAAGTCAAATTTGCTGTTCATACTACTCTGGAGAATTTCGGATACTTCTGCAATAGTGTCATTATCTCCATTATTTTCTATTACAGCTCGAAATTTTGAACCTAAAAATGTTTTTTAGTGTCACTTTCTTAGGTTTCTATTTATTTATTGACAACCACTTTTTAAACAATTATCATTACAATATCATTTAGTCTGTTTTAAAAGTCTTCGATAAATGTAAAGTAGACCTTTGAATAAAGTTGCGGCTTTGCATCAAACATCCAGGTCTGCACAACAACATATTCTCCAGTTGGCAGAGGAACGGGTATCTTGGCCGGATTAACGTATAAATCCTTAATTCCTTGTGGACCCTTGGATGACAGAATCATATAAATAGACCTCAATATGTTATTTTTTAAATAACTACTCACCACATAGGGGCACGAGTGATTCATCGTCGTAAAGTCCTTGATGAGATCGAAAAACACTTTGATAACGGGTTGGTTGCGTCTCCGTATGAATTCACAAGCGTTTATGGTGTAGTCCACAAGGAAGGGCTTGTATCCATTCGCTCTCTTCAGTAGTTGAAGCCTCATGTATATGTCGTTTGCCGGATGAAGGATAGTGAGTCCAATATTCAATGTCGTCTTGTTTCGTTGCACGGCTTTGAGGCGACACTGATTTGTGACAACCCAGGACTTGTTGAGGGACTCGCACACGGCATTCGTCATTTTGAAGAACGCTGCGTGCTGAAAAGGGATTGAAAATTATGTGTATTCGATTGTATTCAATTTCATGAAAATTACATTTTGCTTAGAGCTAAGCAACATTATTGCCAACAGTCCAAAAATAATAAGCGTTATGCGCATTATAGTCAGTCTTCTCTGGGGAATTGTTTTAATTTTACTAAACAACTAAACTAAATAAACCAAAACTATTGCTCTTTGGTTACGCTTCACAAAATCAATTATTATTTTTAATAACTTGGCTGTGGAAAAGTTCCATTATCAAAACTAAAATCTTTTCATACTCGATTTTCCCTGATATATCAGGGATATTTAACTCAGTCAGTGCCAGTCTCTCCGCAACTAGATGGGTTGGGTCACAAATATTTGTTTTAAATAGGCATACATTTTAGGAGTCTGAGGTACAATTCAATCCATAATTTATCTCTGTCCGTCTGAATGAACGTACGATACGTAGATATTGAAAATAGACTGATTTCGTGCTATTTTTCTGTTGTTTATTTTTCTCCAGAATTTAGTCAATACTGTCCACAATTCCAAGCTATATTCTAAAAAAAATTGGCGAAACAGTTCTACACGAGCGTGTCTAAGACAAAGATGGAAGTTTGTCTTTTCGATTACCATTCTAAATTCTACAGAAATTAAAAGTAATCTTTGGAAATAAAAAGTGCTTATTTATGTAATATCGAGGTCAGGAGCAAAACGTAATCCAAGTTGGTATCGAAATTGGCAATTATAGAAGAATAATTTGATAGGTTCTTACCACTTGTGGGCGTTGTGCAAGAGATTTTTTCACATATTCATAAATGCATTCAAATTTTGTAAGTTTGTTGCATACATTTCTGACCTGATAAGGACACATATCGATTGATTCACTGTTAAATAGTCCTGCCTTGTTGCGCTGCAATTGGATCTTTTGTACATATATTCCTTATAAACTGAATAATATATTCCTTCATCATCAATTAACAATTCAATAATTTATAACAATTCAGAAAAATATTTTTGATAAAATGTTGAAAATTGATATTTGGATTAAAGGTGTTGAGGTTGCGTCGCCAATCCTTTAAAGGGTAGTAATTAATCACAAGCCACGCTTGGCTGCAGGACTCTTAAAAGAAAAATGTATATTCAGAAAAAAAATTTTCAATTATGTTATTGTTTTATAGTAGGACCACCTAGACCAATGCTCTAAAAGCTAAACATTTTGATTTCTAGGCAAATTGCAGGAATAAAATGTTGAAACAGTTTTGGCCATGAATTCAAATTGGGGGACAATTTCCAAAAAAAGTGCAGTGGAGTGAGGAATTGCACTTCACATTTAATATTAGATTGTTCAATTAAATGTACATTTGACTCTCTGTTGACTACACGTGGAGGATTTATGCTCATATTTGTTTATATTCGCTGTCCAGAGGATAAGGAAAATGATCGCGGAAATTTCATTCCTTTAAAGAAGAATAAATCTGATAAAGTAAGCTGGATTTCACGGTACGCCGAGCTGCCTTAATGTGGCACGACCCAGCGGCGTGCCCCGCCCACGCAGCCCACTCAAAATAATGTTTAAAATTCACAAACCATAACTGACTTGCTAAACGGACGTTAAAATGCGAACAAAGCAGCAGCAGCATCAACAACCCTCGCCTTGCACTTATCCTCATCGAGCCAGGACAGGCGAAAAAAGCAAACGAAAATTATAAAGAAAAATTTATGAAAACGCGCAATGATCCTGAATGACGCTGCCAAAAAGCACTCAGTCAAGCGTAAATGAGTCGCAATGTGGCCAAAAAACGTGTGTCACAGCCACGGCCAACTGACAGCGCCAATGGCAGCACAACTGCCAATGATGTGTCCGACCGCCCGACCGCCCGTCCGCATCGCACAGCATCCCGATTTTCCACACGAACAACAATGGAGGACGCAGCTGGGTGTGTGGGATGAGCGGATGTGACAGAGAGATGGCAAAAGTTGACAAGGATATGACGGGAGCACTAAAAGCCGGCCAGGCAAAGACGAAATAATTATAAGAAAAGCAACAGCAGAGAGTTCAAATCATACTATATACTCGTATACTCGTGTATATTTTTGTTGTTATTCGCAGAGCATGCCCAAAAAGGCAAGGCAGCCTTCGAGGTGGCGAGCAAAAAAGGTAAGCCGGAAAGGTGCCTCTGCCTCTGACTCTGCCACTACCACGGCGCCAATGGGGAAGAGAAAAGTTTATGTACTGAAAAAGGCATGATAACGAGCGTCATTAATAATTTGAGCTACCGTCGTATTTTCCATCTCAGTCGACGCAGTTGCCTTTCGGCTGACCGGGAAGCGTGCCGTGCTAACGGAAATTGACTTGCTTGGCTGGCACAAACTTTGTCGGGCAAGAGCTGAAGCTGAAGATTGGGATTGAGGCAGACATGCAATGGGTTAGCGCAGTTCCATTTGGGGCAGGCTTCCAGCGCAGTGCTGCCTATTTGCTTGAAAGGTGTGGAGGCGGGAAAGGGAGGGGGGGGGGGGGGCGGGTGGCACTTTAGGTGCCATTGCCCTAGACACAATGGCGGCGACGCGCCGAAAGCAGCCAGCGACAATTTGTCAATAACATAATTGTGTGGACTGCCCCGAGGGCGGCCAAAGGGGACGAACTGTGATTTCGTGCAGGTTGAGCTGCGCAGACTGGGCCTGAGTCTTAGCAAGTTGGATTAATTGGATTGATAAGATAAATGAGCAGCGATTGTTATTATTTACATGACATTTAACGCAGCACGAGCGACGGTAGCCATTTTAATGAAATTGTTGCCGTCAGGCCCCAGTGAAAAATGTCAAATAAATTGCACAGATTTTTTGGGGCATCTCTATCTCTGTCTCCCTCTGCCTGTGCGTCTTCCTCTCTAATTGGTGCTCGGTGCTGGCTAGAAAACTTTGCCACCACAGAAACCGAATCACTTGCAGCGTGGTCGAGTCGTTGTCGTCGCCACAAAACTACTTAAAGCGCTTTTCCGGCAAACTTTTCGAGGCAAAGTGCATGTGCCAAGGCGTGGCCGGAACCGCAACAGACTTGGCGCTCACCAAATAAGTCATTAGCGTCAGTTCAGATGCTGAGCATTGCGGGCCTAATTTAAGCCAAGTGAGTAGCGCAGCCTGTGGTTTTATGTTTTCTGTTTTCTGTTTTTTTTTTTTCTTTTTTCGTTGTGGTTTGGTAACTCCTTCCATCCACAAGAGCGCGCGCTTGCCGTGCGATAAATTTTGTGTGCGTAGTTGGCAACAATTAACGACGCATGCCGAGTGGCTTTGGGTGTGGGTGGTCGAGGAGGAGGAGGAGGAGGAGGTGGTGGATGCCCCCAAATGGTAGCTACTTACTTAGTTCTTTTTGCGTACCCATGGAAATTATCAACCCTGTACGAGTACAGACGCGACTCTTGGCCCAAACGCCGCCTGTCAATGCTTAATGGCTTGCAAAAGTAAATGTTGATTGCGTGGGACATTTGCGTGTTGAGCGAAGCAACTGCGACGGCGACGGCGACGAGTCAGACTGAGGTTTAATAGCCTGGAAAGTTAAGAAGAGGCAACTGCGGCGCCAGTGGCGTCTTTGCAGCTCCTTGCGGTTTATGCGGCCAGCGATGGAGCAGTCTAGGTAATTTGCCTGCGCGAAATATTCGAATAAAGCCGGAGACAAGTGGTGGGGCAAATGGCGCAAATTGGCGAAGGCTCTTCGGGGTGTGCGAGTATGTGCATCTGTATTTATTAAAGGGGGGTTGTACTATGTGGCGCAATCCGAGCATACAGAGTGGTCGTATATCAGCGCAGTTTCAGTAATTGCCGTCCATGGTTATAAAAGTTAAAGTTCACAAAAAAGATCATTAATTTTGGGGCCAGTAGTTGCTTCCAAAGCATTGTTTAAACCAACCACTCAATTTTCATACCCTTTTAATAGAGAGAGAGCGAGTGTTATGGAACATAATCCTCGAACTGCAAGAATGCTATGTCATTCTAGTCCTAGAAGTTACAACAGAAGTTTAACATAAAACATAAATAAATCATTTCTAGAAAAACAGCAACAGCCCTCAACAGTTGCATTTCGTTATTTTTTTTTAGAAAGTTTTATTTTGAAGATTCATGTTTCCTATTTGAAATCACAATAAGAGATGTATGTTTTGGACAACCCTTTCCAATGTTCACTTATAAGTTTTGTAGATTTTCTTCAACTCTTTTAGCATATTCACATCCTGTGGTCGAGTAGCTTTCACCGCCTTTTGTACACTTTTCAATAGACTTTAAACCATGCTCCGTCTTGGTATTGACTCCTTCGATATTAAATACTATCAATAGCATATATTTCTGTTACTATCTCATATCTAACTGCCAATCTGATAAACCTACATTTAATCTATCCCATATATTGCTGAGCTTTTCATATAAAGTCTTTATTGTTTGTATTTCGAGAAATTGGCTTTTAAGAAATGTGGGAAATGAATTAATAATGCGGTTGTAGTTACTGTTGAAATCTTATAATGATGTGAAAGAGCGGCTAACCATATGGTTATCACGCATTATCGTACAAATAGAGTTCTTGATATTTCAGCAACCTATTCAGAAGCCCGCAATGCTGACGCCTCTGCTATGGGCAGGACCAGAAAATGAGTTCATTATGCGCGCCTTTAACTTTAACGAGTTGAGGTCATTAAAAGCTGCGGTTCCTCACAGCTACCGCAGTGCCTGCCATTGGATCGGTCTCCAGCAATGGCTCTGGCTCTGTCTCTGACTCTGACTCTGGTTCTGTCGCTGTCATCGTGTTTTCCTTGCGGCCGTCGCTTGGCCAACGCTTTAAAGTTTCCCTCTGCCTGTGCAGCGGCTCTCTCTCAACTCTCCAGGGAGCACTTGGCGTGCGCACATAGCCGGCAGCTATTTTTACATTATTTCCGTTTTAAAAAGCAAAACCGCAGAGCGGCTGAGCGACTGAGTAGGAGGCGGGCGGATGGGAGGGCGTTCTTGGGTTCGCACGTTCGCTTGTCCTGATGCTGGCGCTGGTGCTGGTGCTGGTGCCTGTGCCTCGGGGCTTAAGCGTTTTATTACCGTTATTTAGCATTTATAGTCGTTTAAATATTTGGCATACAGCAAGAGCAACAACAGTAGCTACAACAGCAACAGCTAGAAGCGTAAAAAGCAAAGCAAAGCAAAGCAGACGCTGCAGATTTTTATCGTAACGTCTGCTTGTAAAACTTTAGCATATTTCTGTTATTTATACGAGTACGTTCCGAGCTTACCACTCACCTTTATCTCTATTTTTCAAACTTTTCCCCTTCTTTTTTGTACTTCCTTTCTGACAGTGCGAGGAGCAGCTCTCGGCCGGTGACATTGTGGTCTTTGCCCAGCGTTTGGGCGCCCAAGTGTGTTGGCATCCCGGCTGCTTTGTCTGCAGCGTGTGCAAGGAGCTGCTGGTGGACCTAATATATTTCCAGCGCGATGGAAACCTCTACTGTGGTCGCCATCATGCCGAGACGCAGAAGCCGCGTTGCTCCGCATGCGATGAGGTAAGTCAGATTCATAGCTGATGACAATAAGTGTGTAATTAGAATTAGAAAACAAGCGCAGGTAGAGCCAGTTAGAATTTGTAATACCCAGCTAGTAGCATCATTGCTTAAACACCCTATTTAGACAAATTCGAGCCATTATTCATCTGCCGGCTGCAGCTTTTCGATGAACATTCTCAAAGCTACATCTTAGATTGTACATCCATCTACCCTAGGAAATGAAAAATGCGATGAACTCACACTTTAGATATTCATTATTCCCCCTGTCCTCTATTGCAGATTATCTTCTCGGATGAATGCACCGAGGCTGAGGGCCGCACCTGGCATATGAAGCACTTTGCCTGCCATGAGTGCGAGCATCAGCTGGGCGGCCAGCGGTACATTATGCGGGATGGAAAGCCCTACTGTCTGGGCTGCTTCGACACCATGTTCGCCGAGTACTGCGACTATTGCGGCGAGGTCATTGGGGTGGATCAGGGCCAGATGAGTCATGATGGCCAGCACTGGCATGCGACAGATCAGTGCTTTTCGTGCTGCACGTGTCGCTGCTCCCTGCTGGGTCGGCCCTTCCTGCCGAGGCGCGGCACCATTTACTGTTCCATAGCGTGCAGCAAGGGCGAACCGCCAACGCCGTCGGACACCAGCTCAGGATCACAGCTGCGACCCACACATCGCGCTTCCACCTCCAGTCAGATTGCGCGCTCTCCACGTCGCAACGGCGAGTCCAGTGGGCGTGGCAAGAGCGCAAAGGCCATGGGCAGTGCGGGCGACTTGCTGGAGCGGCAGGAGCGCAAACGAATGGAAGCGGCAGGAGTAGCAGGTTTATTATTGGGCGGCGGTGTGCCAGGCATACCCCGACCCGCGCACCCTCCGCCCATCGACCTGACCGAGCTGGGCATCAGCTTGGATAATATTTGTGCCGGCGACAAGTCGATTTTTGGTGACACTCAGCTTACGTCTTCCATGCCGGATATGCTGGTGTCCAAGGCAGAGGATTCGCACAGCTATCAGAGCATAGACAAGATCAACTTGAACTCGCCGAGCGTCTCGGATATGACGCAGAGCACCCAAGAGCTGGCCAACGAGCTGGAGCTGGACAACGAACCAGTGCGCGAGCTTCCACACGATGGGTACGAGCAGCTCTTTGCCAGCAAACAGCGTCACAATCGCAACTGCAACAATGACAATGATCATCAAGATGACGATGACGATGATAATGCCGATGCGGAGAGGCAGCCGCAGGATGCAGGACAGCTGGACAATCGGCCGCTGAAGGAGGTACGATTTCACAGCGTGCAGGACACCATGTCCCGCTCAAAGAGCTACACCGACAACTCGAATGCGCGGCGGCGTCGCCGAAGACGCAACCAATCTCGCAGCTCCTCAGAGATGCAAATCAACCAGACCAATCTGCGGCTACACAATGCGCAGACGCAGGCAGGCAGCGGTGCACTGAATCTGCTGAACAATCTGGACAACTGCGATGTGGCCAGCATATGCTCGACTTGCTCCTCCAGCTCCTCCAGCGACATGGACGACTATGTCTATCGACTGCCCGCCCGCAAACATTACGGAGGGGTTCGGGTGGCCTACGTTCCCAATGACGCACTCGCCTACGAGCGCAAGAAGAAGCTGGCCCTAGCCGGGGACCTGGGTGGCATGAGCTCAAGTGTGGGTCCCATCGCACACGCCAGCGTCTCGACGGTTCTGCATGAGAGCAAGAACTGCACCATATCATGACCACCTCCCATTTTGCCACCGCCGCCACTGAATCTGGGCAGTTACTACATACTGGACACCATTCTGGAGGAGCAGAGTCTGATGCTGCCCGACAAGAAGCCCGGCTGCCTGCGACGCGTCTGGAACTTCTTCGGCTTGGGCAGGCATCGTGGGGGCAGCAATCATCAGAACGGGAGCGTTCGCCTTTACAGCGTGTAGAGGAAGAGGAAGAAGTAATGCAGTGTGGAGAGAGTGGCCAGCAAAGTCAAAATTCAATCGAATCGAATTCATTTGCTATATCCATTTATACGTATCAAGGACGTACAGTGCAGTGTAAATAACATATCGAAGTTACTCTCTTGCATCGGCATCTTGTAATTGTGAGGTTTCAATCGAGCGACTCGAGTTAGATGTACAGAAATTTCCATTTCTCGCCTGCTGTGCGCCATTGAAACACTCCCTTACGACAACTTTGTACAAAGCTAAGCATAAATATCAGAAGAAGAAGAAGAACTATACATATTTGCATTTACAATTTATAGAACTTATACGATATTCTAGGTCTAGAACTAAATACTAAGAAACTGTCACTTTTTCAACGAGCAAACAAAACACACAATCAATCAACGAACAATAAATTCCAACTGCCAATACTTAATGAATTTCCATATGTTACTGTTGACCAACGAAAAGCGAAAGTTTTCGCGTCCAAAATGTGCAATAATTTTAAATAGCCAAGCATACAAAAAATACCAATATTAATTACAACTTGACATCGTTTCTAGCTGTTACTAATTTCAGCAGTTTATGTTGGAAATAAATTCTTTTGTTTAAGTATTTTGTCGTCACACAGATTTATGTAATTTTCAGCTTTCACCGAGCGTGAAAGCGAAATTTGCCACCACACTCAGTTATGTTGTATAATAAAACGCAAAGGAATGTCTCAGAATTTTCGAAAGTTTTGTAATAGAAATTTGCACAAAATTTATGACTCGAAACGACAAAGCAAAGTTTTGGGCCACTGTAAACTAAATAATAAAAAGCCCAGCTCCGCACGATTTAATGGCAACTTAACTTAAATTTTTTGGGTGTATTTACTTATGAAATTGTCTTAAGTATATCATTATTACTAAATTATACAAGTGTGTATATTGAAACATAATCAAAATAAAAAATATATATACACATAATATGTGTGTATTTTATGTATTAAACGAAACGTTTTTTATTGCGCCTTTGAATGTAAATGAGTGAGTTAAGGTATGAGAATTTAAAACATGTTGCCTATCTTTAAAATATGTATAAAAAGCTTTTAACAAGAATCATTATTTACGACTATTTTCGTATATCGAACATTTGCTTGTGAACATGAACATGAACACAACATCCCGACAACAGAAACTATGACGTAAAGTGTAAACATAAATTATAAAAAAGTAGAGCCAAACACTGCTGTGGCGTTTACGGTTTGAATATTTTAGCATATTGACCAACGGCTGTTTGGAAACAGCAAAGCAAACCAAGTTGAAGGTAAACAGTTAAACATGAAATTAGCCGCAAGCGCTACAACAAACTACATACACCGAAATATAATTAAATATTTAGCTAGCTCGTCAGTTGACTGACGGACCATAGACATGCCATATGGGAACTATAGAAACTTATAGGCCGTTGGACATCAAGCCTTGCCAGCAGCATGGAGCGAAGGGCAGGAAAGAGTTGAACAAATGTTCAGCAAATAAACATCAAATGTCAATGCTGATGAGGCTTGGATCTAACTTGTTTGCCATATATACATATACTATATATACATACCTTCTTCCTATGTATAGGTATGTTTGTGATTATGGCAACAGAGTTTATTCACCCGATGTGCTGATGTTGCCGCATAACTTTCGTTCGCCTTTGCCTCATGTTAGTTTACGAGCACAGTACGAGTGTGTAGCAGTTGTCCTTGTTGCTGTTGTTGTTGTTGTGTTATAAACGCCCTTTACATTTTATGTGTGGAACTTAAAAGGGTGTAGACATGTGTGTGTATAGTATGTATGTGTTGTATGGCCTGCAGTTTATCAAATGTCGGACGCAAGCAGCGCATTGTGCGCTTCAACTGTCTGTCAGTTGCTGTCCATACGAGTGCGTGTGTGTGTGTTGGTGTGTGTGTGTTCGTGTGTATGTGGGCTTGCTCGCCATTTTTTTTATGTGCAAATCATGCTGCATCATTAAATCCTTATACTGTGTACACGCCACCGTCGCCTTTCCCTGTATCCATTTCCTTTCGCTTTTCTGCACAGGCGCTCAGCAGCTTTTCATTTCTATGCGCAAGAATTTATGGCTTTCAGCGTTGATTTTGTTTGGAATTTTTTATGTGTTTTTAAGTAGTCGTAAAGCGCAACACTTGATGAGATATTAAACGTTGTTTATGCCGCCTCCATTACTGCCACTGCTGCAGAACGTTTGGCACTCCCAGTAGCCCACACATTGTTGCGCATTTTGTTTGATTTGATGACCTTTTAAATATTGGTTTTGAATTTTTCATTATTGGAATGGCAGGTCCCGAAAAAATGAAATTTGATGTGCGTTTAATAGATTTTACGCTTCATTTAGGTGCCATAAAAAGCAGCCAAACAGCCGACACTCCGACGCCATATAAATGATTAACTAAGCGTTCTGGCACCTGAAGCAAATGTCAGGCATTAAAGGCACGAATGATGGCAGCCAGGACACGAACAAGTCGCATTGTGGAGGATGGAGAACGGAGAAGGATGGAAGACCACAAGCCACAGACAGTGTAAAAGACGCCAGGACCTTGTCTGCAAACTTGTCAATGAGCAGCAACTAAATATTTTATTAGGCAGCGCAAAAAAGCAACGAGTAAGTGTTAGTATGTGTATGTGTATGTGTGTGTGTGAAAGCTGTCGTGATTGCGTGAAATTTAGTAGTCCTTTGCGCCACAGAATACATGTGCATGTACAAGTATATCTGTATGTGAGTCAATGATTGGCATGTTGTTCTCGCTGTCGTTGTTGTTGCTCTGCAGGCCGATATTGAGGAGGAGCAGGAGTCAAGCTATATACATGTACCGACTGATGAGCCTCATGATGCTGCTCATGCCCCTGACGATGATGATGATGGTGATGGCGATGGCGATGTTGATGATGATGTTGGGGGCCACCACAAGACGCCTGATGAAGTTGCATGACTGACGGACGCTCAGGGGAATATGGCGGCAAAGTTGTTGACTCCATCTGATGTGAGATGAGGTGATGTGTGTGTGGGCTGCTTTTCTTTTGGCTGCCATGTGTCTTACTTGTAGGTCCTGCCGCTCACAATTGACTGTACGTGTGCAACATTTTTAAGTAGCTTTTCTTCAACTGTGAGTCTGTGTGTGTCTGTGTGTGTGTGTGTTGTCTCTGCTTGTGCATGAAGTATGTTTATTTTATGGCGGCGTTTGTTTTAACTTTCTGTATGTATTATGTACGAGTATGTACATACCTATGTTCGTTTATTTTCGTGAGAAATGGCAAGGAGCATATGTTTTCAATTTGCCAGCAAATGGAAAAACTTGATTGAATTTAGCCTCGCCGAAATGAAGATCGATGTGCAGCAATGACCGCATGCTTTAATAATTCAACACTATTCTCGGGATCGCTGCTTTAAGGTGGCAGCACCAGCAGTTGCCAAGGCAACTATGCAAAAGTTCATCAGTCACAGTCAGCCACCGTGGTATTCCCCACAGAACCGCACGCCGACGCACAAATTACATTTGCGGCATTGGCAGCGTCTGTTGCACTGCATCAATCATACGCACCGTGTTGCGAGGCCCAAGCGACGACGACGTCTATGCTAATGCCGCACACGGCAACTGGGGACAAGGCGGGCCATGACGATGCATAGACGGTGGCCGGGGAATTGGTCTGTGTGTTGACAGTGACTGTGGCAGTGGCAGTGGCAGTGAGTGTGACAGTGGAATCCACAACATGATATTAACATTTACTTTCTATTTAGTTAAAGCGCCGCCTAATTGCAAGCTACATTATTTTAGCAGGCGTGTACACACTAATTGATGCGCTGATGGGCAGAGACGCAGGGAGGCAGGCTGGCAGTTGTACGTACACCCGAAATTAAAATAAATTGTGAAATTAAAGCAAGTGACTAGTCGACTTTTTATTGTGCGCTCCGTGAAAAATTGTAATAAATTCCTCTTTTTCAATTATTTCGCGTATAGTGCGTTAAAAAAAAAAAAAAAACCACCCGGAAACCTAGTTTCACCTTGGCTTTTTGGCAATCGTTTAGTATCCTTATTTTCTTGGATTCCAATCAACAATTAATCTGCTGTATGGGGCTGCTCTGCTGACGTATACACGTCATCGGAGCAGAGACAGCCCAGAATTTTTCTTCTTTGCTTGTTTTGCAAGTCATCTTATCTCACGTAAATGAATGCTGATGAAGACTCGGCCGCTCTCGGAGCAGCTGAGGAAGTAGTCAATAAGCTGCCGAAGTACGTGGAGATGAGAAAAATTTCTGGTAAATCACCTTCGGAGCTGAGAGCAAAAATAACCAAGGACTTGCATATGTCAATGGGAAAACCATACTTAAAGCCGTCAATCTCAACCAGTAACTGGATTGCCTCAACCACTTGTACATCGACTACAAGTACCCTAACATTTTCTGTGGTGAACTCTCAATCAATGTATACTACAGTAGCGACATCAAATGGCAGTTTGTGCTCCACACCCGCCGTTGTGAGTACACCGGCTTCAATGACAAACTTAGTTGCAAATCCAACTCTGGACAAATTTTGCTCGTTTCAAATGCCAGTACCCGGTATTAATAGGAAGCGGAAAGGAGCCGTCGAGTCACTAAAATCGGCTCAAAAAAATAAGCCAACTCCTGTCAATACAACCCAGGGACAACGAACTGCGTCCTCCTCTCCGCCAGCGCTTCAAAATAATAGATTTGCAGCCCTTTCGGAAGAAGCTGATTCCATTATGGAAATGGAAGAGCCAGATTCCGAAGATCCATCGAGCCAGCAAAATGAAGCCAGCCGTTTCCA